AAAATGTGGATGGAAAAAAGCGGTCGCAACTGGCGATCCAGGCTTGCTTCAAGCAATGGAGTTGCCCTGCCAAAGGGCGGCCTAGCACATGTTTCCGTCAGTCTGGTGCAAGCGATCGGAACCCGTTCATTGGAGCCAGTCAAGCGGCTCCCCTACGGGGACAAATACCCGTGCCATGGACACGTACGGTCTATTTTCCAGACAGGAAGCCTAAAGATCAAACACCTTGAAGGAAGGTGGTTGCAAACTAGATGCCAACTGTCCATCATTCCCCCCCCCCAACCCAACCCAAATAACCCCAACAATCTCCAACCAGATGCCCAAACCATTTTTCCTCGGGCTTTCAAATCTTGGGTTTGTCTCCGCCTCCACAGCGCAGCTCCCAGCCGGTGCCCGGGCCGTGCTGTGAAACAAGGCTGCCTGATCGCTGATCGGGCGCTTTGCGGCGGAGGCTTCCCGAGTGGATGGTCCAAAAGAGTCTGAGCTTGGCCACGAAAGTGGCCTTTCCAAAAAGCGGCCAAAGTTCAGGAATTCGGGGAGTGATCCTTTCACTAAGTCTGAGGAGATTGAGTGAAATTGGCCCGGCCGCTGGCTACAGTATGTTGATCATTCTATGGAAAAACAGCTGCAACATCCTAAAATAGCTCCCAAAGCCGCAATTAGGGTACATGGTCCCCGGTCGCTTGCCACAAAAAATGCAGGTAATGTTATAGCTGGAAATAGTGAAGCCCCCCCCCCTCCCCAGAAAAGGACCTTCATGGGCAAGCTCGGTTTACGCCCTTCACTCACCGGCTCCCCGATGCAAAGCCATGCCAAAGAACGGGAGGCCGCCAGCAAAACAGCGAATTGGCGAACTGGGAAAAGAGAGCCTGTTGCCCTCCAGGCCGAGCCTGAATAGTCTCTGCCGGGCCAGGCGTTCAGCTTGACCGTGATCTCGACTGCAAAGTCTTGGCCGGGTGTTGGGCGAAAGTCCTGGCCGCGAAAAGGCGTGGAGAAGAGGCCGGGTGATGTTTTTTTCGTGTGCTCCACATGCATGTCGATATGCAGGACATCCCTCCGGCCCCATCCGCGGCTAGTACAGCTCTTGGACACAGCAACATAGGGTCTCTCTCTCTCTCTCTCTCTCTGGGAAACCCTGGGCAGGGCGTTACACAAAGCGCAAATCGCAGCGTAAAAGTGATGAGTGGCAGCCGCTGAATTTGTTTTGGGGGCAGCTACCTGGGCAACCCCTGACTCTCGTGCGAGTCCCGAGGCAGCTGGATGCTCCCCGCTTGGCAAGCTCGAAAGCCGTGCAATTGTTCCTCTCTCGCTAGCCGGGGTGCTCATGCCAGCCCTACAATCACAAGCCCATGTCGCAATCAAAACCTGGCATCTGCCCAAGACCATGCAGAGACACCTACAAAGCTGGTTATTGATGTCGCTCTTGCGAACCAAAGTCGGCCGCCCTAAACGGGTCCCAATCAGGCTGCGCACAGGCGCTCTCATGGTCCAGCACCAGCATCTCGCCCTGCCAACCTCCGGCGCAAGGGCCCTGCAAGGCCGTGTCATTTTCTGAATGGAAACCTCGTGTGAAGCCTGCATTACCATGAGCTTGTTAGGAATGGCCAAGCGTTCCAAGCTCGAAACTCGGTGCACGCAATTCAAGTTCGCCCATGACCCAAGGGCTCTCCAGTACTGCACGGTGAGTTGGCCTCCCACCCAACGCAGAACCTGAGAAAACCTCCGAAGGAGTCATCTAAGGGCCCAAATCCAAATTCTTTGTGGGTTCACTACGGCCCATCGGAAGGAAGGAGGGCAAGAAGGAAGTCAGGAAGCACTACATTAGAGGAGCCCTCTTGAAGGAGGAAGCTAGCAAGGCAACCCGCAGGTCCGCTGCCACCCCGAAGCGCTCATTTTGCGGCCCCCCCCCCCAGCCAACCCCTCAACCAGCCCACTCACAAACCCAACGGACGCCGCGGCACGAGCTTCGCCCTCCAGCGCCGTGGTCTGCCCCGTCCGGTGGTCCACCTCTGCTCATCGAGCGCCGTGCGCACTGACGTTTGTGGGCCTCGTCTTGCTCCAGTTCAACACACCAACGTTTAGCCCTCAAAGGTCCTTGACATCAAACACTCACAAAAGGCCTGCGGATCGTGTCCGTGTTTTCGTTCGACGTCCCTGTGAGGGGCGACATTGGAAAAGGTTCCTACAAGAAACACACGGATCGACCCACCTCGTTTGTTCCGCACCTCCCGGGCGCCTGCTGCAATACGCAGGCGTTGGG